CAAATTCCCATCTCCCTACAACCTAAAACCTCACCGGTATATGTTATTATCTATTTTTTGTTTTGTTTTGTTTTGTTTTGTGAGCATGGGATTGTCAGCATGAGATGGTATATCTTTGTAGTTTTGGTTTACATCCTGCTAATGGCTAATGATCACAAGCATATATTCATATGTTTATTAGTCACCTGAATGTCTTCTTTGGTGAAGTGTTTACTCATATCCTTTGCCAATTTTTTTAATTAGATTATTTTTTTTCTGTTGAAGTATTGAAGTTTTCTATTAATTTGAAATATTAGACTCTTGTTGGATATGTCATAGACATTTTTTTCCCCCAGTGTGTAGGTTCCCCTTTTTAGGAGCTCTGGTGACATAGTGGCTAAGGCATTTGACTGCTAACCAGAAAGATGGTGGTTCAAATCCATCAGCCACTCCTCAGAGGGAAGGTTGGGCAATGTACTTCCATAGTAATACCACCTCAGAAACCCAAGGAGAGGTCGCTATGAGTCAGATCCGACTCGATGGCAGTGAGTTTGGTTTTGTTTTGTTTTAGGTTCCCTTTTCACTCTTTTGGAGAATTTGATAAGCATAAGTATTTAATTTTTAGGACGTCCCATTTACTAGTTCTTATTCTGATATTTGTACATTTTCAGTTATGTTTGGTATTCTATTTATGCCATATATTAGGGCCTCTAGCATTTTCCCTTTCCAAATTTACTTAATCTGTATCCTGAGCAAATAATCTGAAAAACTGAATTATATAAAGAAGAACATGGCATCATGAGTGGAGGAAGACTCACTAAAAACCAGTGATACGCAAATAACAAAACCTTGCTTACTAAAAGTGAAGAGGACTTGCACCATTTACTGATGAAGATCAAAAACTGTAGCCTTCAATATGGATTACATTTCAACAAAAGTAAACAAAGTCCTCAAAACTGGACCAATAAGGACCATCATGATACATGGAGAGATGACTAAAGTTGCCAAGGATTTCATTTTTCTTGGATCCACAATCAACGTCCATGGAAGCAACAGCTAAAAAAATGAAAAGAGGTATTGTATTGGGCTAATCTGTTGCAAAGAACTTCTTTAAAGTGTCAAAGAACAAAAATGTCAGTTTAAAGACTAAAGTGTGACTAACCCAAGTCATTGTCTTTTCAATAGCCTCATATGCATGTGAATGCTGAAAAATGAATAAGGAAGACCTAAGAAGAGTTGATGCATTTGAATTGTGGTGTTGGTGAGGAACAGTGAACATGCCATGGAGTGCCAGGAGAATGAATAGGTCTCTCTTGGATGAAGTGTGGCATAATACACTTTGGAAGCAAGAATGGCCAGACTTAATCTCTTATACTTTGGTTATGTTATCAGGATGGATCAGTCCCTGGAGAAGGATAATATGCTTGGTAAAGTAGAGCATCAGAGAAAAAGGGAAATACCTTCAATGAGATGTATTGACACAGTGGCTGCAACAATGGCCACAAGCATATCAATGATTGTGAAGATAGTGCAGGGTTGGGCAGAGATTCCTTCTGTTGTATGTAGGGTTGTTACAAGTTGAAACAACTTGATGACACCTAACAACAATAAGCAATGTCCCTATTTTTCCTTCCATGATCTTTATATTTCAGTTTTTAATTCATATTGAGTTAGTTTTTGTGTATGGTGAGAGGTATGAGTCCTGCTTCATTTTTCTATAAATAGACAGATTTGCTAGCATCATTTGTTAAAGAGACTGTCTCTTCCCTATTTAATGGGCTTTGACCTTTTGTTGAAGATCAGCTGCCCACAGGTGGATGGATTTACATCTGGATTCTCAATTTGGTTCCGCTGATCTATGTGTCTGTCATTGTACCATTACCAGGATGTTTTGACTACTATGGCTGAATACTAGATTCTCAGATCAGGCAGTGTGAGGTATTTTACTTTGCTCTTCTTCAAAAATAGTTTACTTATCTTGAGTCTTTTTTCCTTTCCATATAAATTTGGTGATTAGTTTTTTCCATTTCTTTAAGAATGCAGTTGTAATTTTGATAAAGATTGTATTATATATATAGACCACTCTGGGTAGTACTGACATTTTCATAATGTTAATTCTTCCTATACATGAGCTTGGTATGTTTTTCATTTATATGAGTCTCTTGCAGTGCTGTTTTATAGTTGTACCTGTATGGGTCTTTTATTTCCCTAGTTATATTTATTCCTAAGAATTTTATCTTTTGGATAGCTATTTAAATAGTATTTTTTTCCTGATTTATATTATGAAGTTCTCTTTTTTTGGTGTAGGGAATCCAACTGATAGTTCTACAGTGATCTTGTATCGTGCTACTTTGCTGAATCCTTCTATTACTTCCAGTTGCTTTCTTGTGAAATCGTTAGGATTTTCTATGTATAGGACCATATCATCTGTTCATAGGCCTTTACTTCCTTATTTTGCCTTATTCCCCTACCCAGGACTTCCAGTAAAATGTAGAGGAAGAGTGGAGATAAAAGGTATCCTCAACTGGTTCCTGTTCTCAAGGGGAATACTTTCAGTCTCTCTCCATTGAAAATAACACTGGCTATTGGTTTTGTATAAATGCACCTTTTTATATTAACAATTCCCTTCTATTCTTATACTGCTGATGATTTTTATCATGAATAGGTATTGGACTTTATAAAATATCTTTGCATCAATAAGATTGTATGTGATTCTTTTCTTTTGTCTTATTTATGTGGTGGATTACATTGATTTATTTTCTAATGCCAAATCATCCTGGCATATTTTTTCAATCTCTTCTTTTGTTATGAATTTGTTTCTTTTTTCATAAGTACTGTGTTTCTAAAAATTTATCTATTTCCTCTACTGTTTTCAAATTTATTTAAGTAAAATTTTTCAAAGTATTCTACTATGAATCTTCTGAGTTATTTGTTTTTTCTCCTACTTTTCTTTGGTCAATTTGGTCAATGGTTTGTCAATTTTATTGATCCTTCCAAAGAACCAACTTCTGATGTTGTTGATGCTATTGTTTTTGTTTCATCTATTTCTGCTTTAATATATTATTCCCTTTCTTTGGTGATTATAGGCTACTTTTTCTGCTCTCTTACTAGTTGTTTGAGTTGTAGAGTTAATGTGTTTATTTTGTCCTTGCCTTCTTTATAGTGTATTTATGGCTATAAATTGACCTTTGAGCACTGCTTTTGCTGTGTCCCAAAGATTTGAGTATATTATGATTTCATTCTCATTTGATTCTAAGAATACTTATTTTCTCATACTTGAGAGTCTTTAATGGTTTTCATCTATACAAAGGCATATTATGCATACTATAGACTGAAAGATATTTGAGTGACATTAGATACACACTGTAATAAACTCTTTGGAAGAAATGATTAAAATATGAAATATTGTTTGGTAAACACCAGAGTGAAGATTAAACATTACAATCTACAGTATGGATTAAAATTCAGTATGAAGAAAACAAAAATCTTCTTCACAAGTGGACCAACAAAGAGCATCACAATAGATGGAGAAAAGATTGAAGTTGTCAAAGACTTCCTATTACTTAATTCTACAATCAACACCAATGGAAGCAGTAGTCAAGACATCAAAAGATGTATTGTATTGGGCAACTCTATTGCAATGACCTCTTTCAAATGCTAAAGTGCAAAGGTATCTCCTTAAATACTAAAATGTGCCATTTTAGTAACCAAAGCCATGGGATTTTCAATGGTGAGTGCATTCAACTGTATGCGAAATAACATCATTAAAACCATGAAAAAAACTATAAAACATATTTTCTAAAGGTTATTCCCTGTACCTTTATTTGTAATAGCCAAAGACTTATGAAAAAGTTAAAGGTTGGATTGAAAAAGGAAGAAACACTGATAAGGATGGTCCCACAGTTATAGTAAAACATTTGTTTCTAGCAAAGCCACAAAGTAATTCTAATCATCCAGACTTTGAGTTGGTATTATTTTCTTACTCACTGAAAATGTTTGTTTGTTAAGGGAAGATTTACAGGAATTTGCTATTTGAAATTGTAACAGAAAGGTGAAAACATTCCAATCTTGACACAGAAGTGTCTCAATGTGAGTTCTTAATTGAGAAGTGAGATGTGAGGGACAACTATAGGCGTCCCACATTCTTATAATTCATAAGGCCTCTCTCCACTGTGACTTCTTCTCTTTAGTGAAGGTTGAGGAATTGCTGAAGGTTTTCCCACATTGCTTACATTCAAAAAGACTCTCTCATCTGTGAGTTTCCATATGTACAGTGAGGGTTGAGTAATCACTAAGGCTTTCCCACATAACTTACAGCCAGAAGACCTCTCTCCACTTTTAATTTGCATATGTAAAGTGGGGTTTGTCTTTTGACAAAAGGCTTTCCCACATACCTTGCATTCATAAGGCGTCTCTCAACTGTGAATTTTTATGTGTTATGAGACACAATAGGAATGACTAAAGGTTTTCCCACATTCCTTACATTCATAAAGCCTTTCTCCACTGTGAATTTTTGTATGTTGACTTAGGTGTGATAAATGCCTAAAGCTTCTTCTACATTGCTCACATTTGTAAGGCCTCTCTACACTGACTTCCACAACAAAAAGTGAGGTCTGAGGAATTTCTGAAGCCATTCCCACATTTCTTAATTTTATAGGGACTCTTTCCACTGTGAGTTCTTCTATGTTCAGAGAGTTGTAAGGGCTAATGAAATGCTTTTCCACATTCCTTATGTTCATAGGGCTTCTGTTCACTGTGACTTCTTATATATCTAGTGAAGTCTGAGGGTTGATCAAATGGTTTTCCACATTCCCTACATTCATAGGACCTCTCTCCACTATGCACTCTTTTATGAATAGAAAGGCTTCAGGGCATACTAAGTTCTTCCCCACATTACTTACATTCATAGTGCCTCTCCACCATGAATTATTTTATGTACAGAGAGGCTTGAGGTCTGACTAAATGCTTTCCCACATTCCTTACATTCATATGGGCTCTCCCCACTGTGATTTCTTATATGTCTAGTGAGGTTTGAGGACTGAGCAAATAAATGCCTTCTCACATTTCTTGCATTCATAAGGCCTCTCTCCCCTGTGAATTCTTTTATGTTCAGAGAGGTCTGAGAGCTGACTAAATGTTTTACCACATTCCTTATATTCATAGGACCTATGTTCATGGTGACTTCTTAAATGTCTAGTGAGCTGTGAGGGCTGACTAAATGCTTTTCCACATTCTTAACATTCATAGGCCCTCTCTCCACTGTGAATTCTTTTATGTTCATAGAGGTCTGAGGGCTTCCTAAATGCTTTTCCACATTTGTTACATTCATAGGGCCTCCATCCACTGTGAATTCTTTTATGTACAGAGAAGTCTGAGAGCTGAGGAAATGCTTTCCCACATTCCTTACATTCATAGGGCCTCTCTCACTGTGAATTCTTTTATGTAGGGTGAGGTTGGAGAAATGACGACATGCTTTCCCACATTTTTACATTCATAGGGTCTCTCTCCGCTGTGAATTGTTTAATGTCTAGAGAGGTCTGTAACCTGACTAAATTCTTTCCCACATTCATTACATTCATAAGGCCTCTCTCCACTATGAATTCTTTCATGTCTGGAGAGACCTGAAAGCTGACTAAATGCTTTCCCACATTCCTTACATTCATAGGGCCTCTCTCCACTGTGAATTCTTTTATGTACAGAGAGGTATGAGGGTGATCTGAATGGTTTTCCACATTCTTTACATTCATAGAGCCTCTTTCTACTGTGAATTCCTTTATGTGTGGAGAGGTTTGAGGGCCAACTAAATGCTTTCCCTCATTCCTTACATTCATAGGGCCTCTCTCCACTGTGAATTCTTTTATGTATGGAGAGGATTGAGGGCCAACTAAATGCTTTCCCACATTCCATACATTCTTAGGGCCTCTTTCCACTGAGAATTCTTTCATGTCTGGAGAGGTCTGAAAGTTGACTAAATGTTTTCCCACATTCTTTACATTCATAGGGCCTCTTTTCACTGTGAATTCTTTCATGTATAGAGAGGTCTGAAAGCTTACTAAATGCTTTCCCACATTCCTTACATTCATAACCCTTATCTGTCTTGTGAAATTTTGGATGAAACATCAGGGATGATGGATGACTATTGACTTTACAACACACTTCACACTCGTGTTTATGACTTCTCACATGTGAACAAAAGGATGAGAAACTACAGAAACACTTCCCACATTTTGCTTGTTCATAGTGTTTCTCACAAGTGGATACTGTCACAGGAACCTTAAGGCTTGACATCCAAAAGTCCTTCTTGTGTATATTAAGCTTCTGGGGTTTCTTTCCCTTAAGGATTTTCACAGAAGTGAATCAGTGAGAGGGACAACCGCAGGCTATACCACATTCCATACAGTGACAGGTATTGCCTGTGGAGGGCAATCTGGTGTGACACACAGATGATGACTCCTACATGAAGGCTGTTCCTCACACACAAGATTGAAAAGGATTGACCTCCAGAGGGTTCCTCTGTATCACAGCAAGATATGGAACATGGCTGAAGGCTTTCCCACATTGACTGTCTTCATTATTTTCATAGAGGATCTTTACTTTACAACTTCTCAAAAATCTCCCATGGTTTTCACGCAGATCTTTTTTGTTTTCCAATCAAATCAGAGGTCTCTCCTAACATGGATGACAAGGTGTTATTCTTCATCAATCACAACATTACATGATCACTGGACAGCTTCTCTCCATCAGTAAAAGAGACTACTGTGGCCATGTTTCTCAAGGTTTCCATCATGATATCTCTGTAGAATTTCCTCTGATCAAGATCCAGCAAAGCCCACTCTTCTTGGGTAAATACCAGGCCACATCCTCAAAGATCAAAGTCAGTACTCTGAAATGATCTCCTCACAGTTTGGCCGAGAGCAAATGAAGTCTTATCCATCTTTATTTTCATGTCTTCTCCACCTTCTGGAAGTTTAAAAGAATATCCCTTTGAAACCCAATAACTACTTCATGAAGATGGATGGGTGTGGAAGCAGAGCACCAGGACATCTGGAGGGTGATGAATAGTGTTTGGTCCAAACACCAGTCACAGCAACTGAAATCCTTCCTTGGGATTTACAGAAGTGCAAGAAGGGTCACCTTAGTTCCCCAGCCACAGGGACTGGATGAATTCTCCATGTCCCATGCTGGAGACCTGAATCTCCATTTGTGAATGACCAGCAACACTGAACAAAGTCCCTCCTGAAGGCACCCAGAAAACAAAGAGGAGCCCTTTCTGGTAGGAAATTGTAGTTGGGAGCTCGCTCCTTCTTCCCGCCCCAGAGATGCAGGTCCCAACAAGCTGCTCACATCCAGGAAGTGGCTGCAACCCGGCCCAGGACCACACAGGAAGCAGCAGCAGTGGCGGTGGAGCCTGCGCAACAGGAGGGCCTGAGGCTCCAGGAGGCAGAGAGACCCAGAGTGCATGGGAGAATGGGGCAGCACCTCAGACCTGGACGGGAGCCTATGGGGGAGCAGCCAGAGAAGCAGGCCGCCGGGCAACTGAGGAGAAAGCTACACACTACCTGAGCAGAAATGGGAGCCTCTAAGAATATTTTTATTTCTTCTATTACTCAGAGGTTTTTAAGCAAGTTGCTATTTAGTTTCCATGTATTTGGCTTGTTTTTTTCCCTTATTTTTAATGTTACTGACTTCTACTTTTATAGCATCCTTATTTTTGTATTATTTTGATGTTTTTCATTTTATTGAGACTTGCTTTGTGGTTGAAAATGTGGTCTATTCTGGACAATCTCATGTGTGTTGGAAAATAATGTATAATTTTCTGTTGTTGGATAATGTTCTGTACAGTTGAGTTGATTGTGCTTTAGATATTCTGGATCTTTGCTGAATTTCTTTCTAGTTGTTCTGTTCTTCACTAGATGTGGTGTGTTTAAGTCTCCTGTTGTTATTGTACCACTGTTCCTCTTTTCAATGTTGTTAGAGCTTCTTTCATGCATTTTGGACCCTTGTCATTGAGTAGGTGTATATTTATTATGGTTATATCCTCTTCATTGATTGACTCTTTAATCATCATAAAATGTTCTTTATCTTTTATGGTCATTTTTACTTTAAATTCCATTTTATTAGACATTTTTTATTATTGTTTATTTCATACATTCTTTCCCCCATCCTTTGAGTTTTAGTTTATTTATGTCTTTGTGCTTAAAGTGTGTTTCTTGTACACAGCATATTAATGGATTTTTTTAAAAACCATTCTGTCATTCTCTGTCTCTTTACTGTTGCCTGTAAGCAATTTACATTTGGTGTGATTATCAATAGATATGTATTTACTGCT